CAGCATCCCGGTTAGCTCAGGAAGAAGATACCGCAGCCCAGTGTGCCCAACCACCTTCTTACTATGATTCTTGGGACTTCAGCCAGACCGTATCATATCCTTACGAGCAGCAGTGGGATTATGGGCCTGTTGAGCAGCCATATGAGTCTTTCGAGGACTCCTCTGAGTACAATGCAAAGCTCGACCAGGCTCTCGCTCTTTTGGCATCCCAAGCAGTCCGTAGGGGCAATCTAGAGTCCAGAATCGAGCACTTAGTGGAGCGCGTGCAAGCCTTAGAGGATCGAGTTACCAGTGTCACTCCCGAGCCCACCGCTCAAGGCGAACCTACATATAGGGACGAGCCTCGGGAGAGTGCTTTGTCATTCGATGAAAAGCTCGACCTCATCCTTGCTCGCATATCTGCCCTGACCACCCGAGATGTGGACATTGAGCTCGGATGTGCTAGACTGAGCACGAAAATAGAGATTCTTACAGCACATATCGACTCGACCGAGGCACAAGCCGACGATCCCCACTGGATGCTTGACACTCAAGCCCGCACGATGAAGCAAATTTGTGAGGCCGAAGAAGAAGATGACGAGCTCGAGCGAGACATTGATTTTATTTCAGAGGAGAAGATTCACGGGCTTGATTCTCATGTCTCTCCTCCCACCTCCGAGTTGGAGCATTCATCTTCGAGGCCCTTACACTGCGTTATGAAGTGGGGTGGATTCAGTTCGGTTTTCTCCACAGACGAGCTTATACTTCTAGAGGTTGACGATAGAGCTCGTGTGGGAAAAGCTCTATGTCTGGAATTGGGCATTGCTCGGGCCCGAACCCGTTTCCTTCAGAATATAGCCACCCGAACCCACTATGCCCGCCTTTTGGCCTTGGTGCCAGCACTGCCACTTCTCGAGAATACAAAGGCGTGGCACGATCGTCACTTCTTTCTGGACCCCGGATGAGTTCTTCTCAGGTTTCGTCAAGCTAATGACGTAAAACAAGCGCTTCTTGGGAGGCAACCCAAGTGATATTTATTGCTTTCTTGTTCATTTTCTCTTATGCTTTTTTTTTTTTTTATCTTTAAATAATGGGAGGTTTGGAGTTTGTGTGGTTTTTCTCGGCAGGATATATCCATCAGGGATTGGAGCATGGGCGAAGGACTTGCATTGGGATGCTTATTC